TGATCGGTCATAACTGGATTCTGATCGATCATCCTGACCCTGTAAGAGATTTTAATCGATTGAAACGTGTTTTAATCGATTGAAAAACTTCTGATCTGATCGCTCATAACTAAAATCTGATCGATCATATCTGATTCTGATCGGTCATATTTGTAATCTGATCGGTCATAATGAGTTGAGAAGGGTTTTCAACGTCGGGTTAGGGAATAACCGACGTTGAAAGCCTACTTGACGTAGAATCCTGACACTTTAAGAGATTTCAATCGATTGAAACGTGTTTTTAATCGATTGAAAAACTTCTGATCGCTCATAATTAAAATCTGATCGTTCACATTTGATTCTGATCGGTCATATTTGTATTCTGATCGGTCATAATGAGTTCAGAAGGGTTTTCAACGTCGGGTTAGGGTATAACCGACGTTGAAAGCCTACTTTCCACGTCGTGCATGATAAAACGACGTAGAATGTGTCAAAATTCGACTTTCGACGTCGGTTTTTGACCAACCGACGTTGAAATCATGTTCAACGTCGGCTAAGATGTAACCAACGTTAAACAGAGACGTTGAAAGTATATTTTCTAGTAGTGTAGTACAAACTAAGTTACCTAATCTACATAATACACACAATATAATATAAACAATAACCTAAAAAATTAAGTACTAGAATTGTTGAATGAAAAACCTTGTCCATTATTCTCTAATTTGTGTGATATCATATTCTGGCAATGGAGATGTATCTTGAAATACCTGAAACATTAATTTGACTCTTGTAAACATGCAACACACATAAAGTTAAATAAACTTATAACTAATGCTGAAAGTAATTACCTCCGTCCAAGAATCAGTTATACCCGCACAAACTATGACTCTCATCCAATACATAACATAGTAACTATATTCAAATGAGTTTGTTTGCTTATTACACTGAAATAATGAATAAAATATAATGTTATTTTCAAAATTTAAATACAAACAATAATTATGGTATTCACTTATTATAATAAGTTTCTAACCTTAGGATAAATGAACTGCAAAGTCTTTATTCTGGGTTTTCCACTTAGAACATTAGTTATAGACACGATTCTAAATGAAAAAAAGTCATATATTATTCAATATCTTTTCCATTTTCACTAGCAAATTTCAAAAATTCATCAACTCCCTTTTCGTACTCTTCACTAATACGACTATCATTCATCAAACTTCGATTCATATTATGTTATAAAGTTTCGTCACTCCTAGAGATTCAAAATTTATATTTAAAAATAAATTAATATACAAACAACAAAGCACGTATATGGAGTGTGTAAACCGAAAATGCACTCAAATAAAACAATGACATTCCAATAACAATCCAGTGGAGACATTCATACAATGATGTGATTGAGATCCCCAAAAACAATCACGGATTCAATTTGAACATATATCAAGAGACATAGAATACTAACCTCGAGTAAACACGAAAACGATTTCAAACTCGAATCCAATCGGGGAGAAATGTCAAATTCGTAAAATGAGACACAATGTTAATGTTCTTCACTGCCAAAATGATCGAAAATGGTGTGGAAAGGTAGCTGTTGTCGTCGTTCTCATTGTCGTTCTAAAAAACCCTTGTGGCGCGAGTTGCGGGAGTGGGTCTAGAAGAGAATAAAAATAATTTTTTACGTCGCACACCCTAGCACATGACGTAAAAAGTCTCTTTTACGTCGCGTGGGGGGTGCGCACTTTTTACGTCGCACACCCCCACGTGACGTAAAAAGTATCATTTTTATGTCGCGCACACCCTACGTGACTTAAAAAGCTCTCTTTTACGTTGCGTTGTACCAAGTGCGACGTAAAAGAGGTTTTTAACGTCACCTCCTACCATATACGACGTAAAAGTTTTACCTCTTATTTACAAAATTGTCACCGCGTTTTATTTACATCGAATATTTTGACATGTGACCACAATTGGGTGACGTAAAAGGTCAATTTTGCACTAATGACTGCATATGATATATGTTTATGTTTGAATAATTAATACAAACTATTTCCTTCCCCGTATAATATGGTCCCTTTGGATGCATATATGGAGATTGCTAAGCTTCATTTCATTAAAGACTTGCTCAGGGATCTGTTATCAAATTTACAACAAAATAGCACAGAAAATATATTCTTCATTGATTTTCTACTTAAAGTTGTGTGGTATTGTGAAACCTTTTATCTTTGCATGAGTTGTTCATAAGTTATGTGCTATTATGAGACCTTTTAACCTTGTAGAATATTGAGAGTTGTTTATAGAAAATAAGTTTTTGCATTTATAATTTTATAAAATGGTAAAAGTAGTAGTAGAGGTAGAATTAAATTCCATTGCCTTTCTTTTCTGTTTCACCATGTATATAATTAATATATATTTGACGTCTCTTATCTTTTATATTTTTTTCTTATTTACTTTTCTAATTAAAATTATTATATTAAAATTTAATAAAATTACGTTGACGTAAATTTTTTAAAATTATATTAAAATTACAAAAATATTATTAATTATTTAAAATTAAAAAAATAAAAATAATAAAAAATGGAAATAAATCTTCCTCGTTGTCAACCTTGGGAGATTCTGAATCCATTGAATGAATGTTACAGAGACCCACAAGTACCATGTTACAGCCAACCTCTCCTAGTCCCCAACTGCCATCATCAATTGTCTAGCAGTACACTATCAATCTTCCATTATTTATTGGATTTATATATATATATATATATATATATATATATATATATATATATATATATATATATATATATATATTTTTTTTTTTTTTTTATTTATTACATAGTCTTTTAAAAATAAAATTATAAAAATTTAATATTTTAAAAAAATAATATATCATATAAAAATTAATCATTAAAATGTTATTATGATAAATACAAACAGAAATACTTCTATTCTTAACTGAAATATTAACATTTATAATGGGTTAATTAATATAATCTCGTTTCATCCACACTAAAAAGTTAATATTTTAATAAAATTACCGGTGTCACTTTATATAAAAGATAAGATTGAAGTTAATTTATATATTCTCATTTTTCTTAATCTAATAATAAAATTATAATAATAAAAATTTGTAAATAAATAATATTTTAAATATGAGAATTAAACTTAATAATATTATTATAATAAATATTATTTAATTAATTTTATAAAATTATTATCTTTAAAAATAAATTTATTTTTTAGTGCTGTTATTTTTATCATTAAAAATAAAAATAAAAATTTATTTTTAGATTTTATATAATTATTTATTTTATTTTTCTTTATTTTCTTAATTAATTAATTAAAATAATATTATTTTAAAATTATTATTTATATATTTATTAAAAAGTATTATTATTTTAAGATTATTATTTATATATTTATAAAAAGAAAATGTAAAAATATTTTTTTCTTTTATTTTTTCCTTAACAACAAGTTGAGTGGTCTTCCATTGTTACTAGTCTATCCAACAGATGTCACCCACTTCCACATGCTCCACTCACTATCGATATATTAAATAAACTTAATCATTTAAATTAGGTTTCTTTATTTATTTTGTAATTATATCTAATCTTATTTAATTGGTTTTTCGTTGAGTTAGATTCAACTAAATCAATTCTCTAATAGATTTTAAAGAAAAATTATATATTTTAAAATATGTGATTTCAATATATTTTTTATTACTTTTTAAATAATTATTTTAAAAATAAATTATATAATTTAATACTTAAATGATTATAAATTTAATATTTTAAAATTAATATTTAATTAATAGAATGATAGATAAAGAATAGAATATTAAGCCACGAGACTTCACTACATAAATTATATGACTTAGAATATTAAATGACATCACTTTCTGTTAAAGAATATTGTTTTGGCTAGTTACGTATGTCACATGTGATATTCTGCTTTAGCTTACGACTTTTATTAAAAAAAAAAAATCATAGAGTTAAATACAAAATTGCTACATAAGGTGTCTCAGCTAAATTAGATTGGGCAAATTAAACTATCTTCTTAACATGTTTGGATTCAACCATAAAAAGAAAAATAAAATAGAGTGAAAAGTAAAATTATTTAATTAAAACAAAATTAAATTAAGTTTCAATATTATTTTATTTTATATAAAAGATGATAATTTATAAAACTGGAAATGGAAGTGTTCAGTGTATACTTTTCAATATATTATAATTAAAGGAAATATTGGTGCCTATGTGATTTTTTTTTCAAATAAATTATTGATATTTTATATTTATATATGCAACATGTAATATATCTTTTATTTCATTTTTTCTTATTTTTGGTTTATGTTTTTATTTTATATATCATATTTATTATTCTTTTATGATTTTTTTCTAAATATTTCTTATTTTCTTTCGCTAGTAAATTAAAAAAATTTAAATCATAATAAATATTTTCCTTCCTTAGGTACATAATCTTTCTTGAGGTTACAACACCAAATGCCAAGCTGTTTTTTGTTTTCTATTGCATTATTTTGATTTAAGTGCAGATAAAAATTCGAAGAAATATATAATTTTTTATTACAAGCTAACAACGTCAAACAAAACTGATGTTAATTAAATTGGTTTAATTTGGATTAAAAAAATGGCAAACCTACTTAAATAAATATGAAGCTACAATAAATTTATTAAATATAAACTAATTTAGTTATAAAAATATTTAATTATTATATTAACTAAATTATAAAATATTTTAATGACATCAATATTAACCTAGTTTCACCTAGTTTTTTATTATTTATTTATTTTTAAATGAAAAGGAGATATCTTATGCCTTCTCATTTTTATATGAAGAAGTGAGAATGTATTTTCTAATGATAAATCCCATAAAAATAACTTAAACATTTCTTATATCATCTCCCAAACAAATGATAAAAAAATCAGAATAATGAGTATAAAGTTTTGGGGACTTTTGTGAGATGTGATTGCTGTAAAAGAATGTGTCTGAAATAATGGTTGTTTGAGCAAATGAAAAAAATGTTCTTCTCTACCTTTTATCTCTCTATTTTCTTCTTTATCAGCGTCCTATTCTTGTTTAATCTAACAAGAAAAACCAAATCCAAAAGCAATCTGAATTTGCCTCCATCACCACCAAAACTACCACTCATAGGCAATCTTCATCAGTTAGGTGCACTGCCACATCGTTCTCTTCGAGATCTCTCACTCAAATATGGTGACATCATGATGCTGCAGTTGGGGCAGTTGCAGAATCCAACTGTGGTGGTTTCATCCGTAGAAGTGGTCATGGAAATCATGAAAACGCATGACATGTCCTTTTCCAACCGACCCCAAAACACTGCTGCAAAAATCTTACTCTACGGATGCATTGATATTGCATTTGGACACTACGGGGAAAGCTGGAGTCAGAAAAAGAAAGTATGCGCCCATGAACTTCTGAGCCAGAAAATGGTTGAATCATTTCATGAAATCAGAGAGGAAGAAGTGGGCAAATTGGTGAACAAGCTACGTGAAGTGAGTTCCAGTGAAGATTGCTGCGTGAATCTAAGAGAGATGCTTATGTCAACATCGAATAACATCGTGTGTAAATGTGCTTTCGGTAGGAAATACACTGGAGATGGTTACAGCAGGGTGAAAGAGTTGGCAAGAAATGTTATGGTTCAGCTTGCAGATTTTACCGTGAGGGATTACTTCCCTCTGTTGGGTTGGATTGATGTTCTCACTGGAAAAATGCAGAAATACAAGGCCACTTTTGAATCGTTGGATGCTTTATTTGATGAAGCAATTGCAGAGCATTTAACTCTGAAGATGGAGGATAACCACTCCAGAAAGAAAGACTTTGTGGATATCCTACTTCAACTTCAAGAGAACAACATGCTTAATTTTGAGCTCACCAAAAATGACCTCAAAGCACTTCTAATGGTATCTCTCTCTCCCTCTGGCCACTTTCTTTTTCACTCTCCCATGAACATATTCACTGTACTCTAAAATCAAACACAAACTTGCACACGAATCTATGCTTGAAAAGTTTAACCTTATATTTTATTATAATTTTCTAGATCCTCGGTATCGAAATATTAAATGCCAGCAATTTTACTCAGTTATTTTTACGAGAAATTTCATTTATATTCTATAAGATCATGTTAGATCATATTCACACTTATTTATTTTTATAATGTCTTAATCCTGTGTCAGTCATTAATTAATTTCATGAATGTTTTCTTATAATTTAAGGATATGTTCGTGGGAGGAACTGACCCAGCTGCAGTAACATTAGAATGGGTTATTTCAGAGCTTGTGAGAAACCCAAGCATAATGAAGAAAGTACAAGAAGAAGTGAGAAAAGTTGTGGGGCATAAATCAAATGTAGAAGAAGAGGATATCAATGAAATGCATTATCTGAAGTGCATAGTGAACGAAACTCTAAGGTTGCACCCACCTGCTACTCTTTTGGCTCCACGTCAAACAATATCCGGAGTTAAATTGCAAGAATATGATATTCCTGCAGAATCGATGGTATATATTAATGCATGGGCAATTCAAAGGGATCCTTCATTTTGGGAAAGTCCTGAAGAGTTCCTGCCAGAGAGATTTGAAAACAGTGAGGTTGATTTTAAAGGTCATCACTTTCAGTTTATTCCATTTGGGTTTGGGAGAAGAAGATGCCCTGGAATGCATTTTGGAGTTGCTTCTGTTGAGTATGTTCTTGCCAGCCTTCTTTATTGGTTCGACTGGAAGTTGTCTGAATCTGATGCACTGAAGCAAGACATAGATATGAGCGAGACGTTTGGACTGGTTGTCTCAAAGAAAACACTACTTTATCTCAAACCAATAGCTTATTCATTTTCATCCAAGTCTTCAAAAACTCTCTGAATTTATTATTGTTGTCATTATCTTTCCCAGTGGTTGTGCTATATGATACTATTCATTCACGGGGTTGTTCATTTCTAATCTTCTGGTATTACATAAATTGAATCGCTATGGAAGTTTTTTTTTTTTTTTTTTTAAAAGGTAACGCTAATAATACAAATTTATGATCTTAGATTCTTTTGAATTTCTTTATTGAAAAAAAATAACATTTTTTATAGAGAAAATTTTACCCAATTTCGTAAAATAAAAAAAAAGTGACCCATTTTTGTAAAATACATATTTTACCCTTAAAAAGGCCTTTATATGGATTTGGAACTTAAATTAGTAATAAGTATGTAATTATCAACTAGGTATTTGTAAGATAATAATACTCCACCACATATTCCTTTTTTAGTTATTGATTAATGATATCACTACTAAAAAAAATTGTAATTTAACCAAGGAAGTTTTCAGTCACACAACAAAAATTGCTACCTAACTCATTTACGACTTTAATATTTCATTGAAGATATAATATATAAATTTTAAACTCTAAAATATACATTAGTAGAGCATAATAGTAGTTTTTATATAAATTAATTAGTAGAATATTTATCTTTTTAGTTTTATTTAAAAATGCATTTCATGAAAAATAATATTTTATAATTAGTCAATCTTATTTTATAATTTTATTTTATCTAATGTAAGTGGAGAATGGTTTTCTAAATTAAATAAACAAGTATATTTTGCCTTATTTTGAAAAAAAAATTGACTTATTTATTGAACCATCTCAATAAAATTATGATTTTTTTTTCATTCACAATTAGATCATACTACTGTAATTTTGAAAGCAAAATTATGACATTTTGATCATTAAAATTAGTGATGGTACACATGTGATTGAAAATATTAGTTTAACACCGTGATAAGTTTTAGGTTTATTTTTTAAAAAATTTGAGAATAGTATTGTTTTAATATATTAACTGTTTTATAAACCCTTATTTTATATATTTTAAGTTGAATATCTTTGTGAATTATGTATGTAAATATTTTTTTTCGATTTTTGTAAATTTGAAAAAACTATTTCTCCTAGTATATTTTAGATTGTTGTATTGTGAATCAACAGATAAATTTGGTAGTATTTAATGCTCTCAAATCTCTCTCAAAGAAACAGTTGAAAACCACGTAAGGTCCAGCCTTCCCTGTCACAGTATCAAAGTCCTGATCTATAGTCATTTTTAGGTTCTAGTCTAGCTCTCTTATTATTATTTTTTTAATTTAAATAAGTTAAAATTTTATATTTTTAAAAATAAAAAGTTAAATAATATATAAATATCCACACTTTTAATACTTTAAAATTTTATATTATATATAATATTATATTTATGACGTGGATATTAGGTTATCTTTGCAAAGACTTTTTTAATTAGATGGGAGCAATTTTTTTTCAAATTTCCTAAAATAAATAAAATTTTAAAACATTTTAGGTAAGTGGTGATACGACTCAAAAGTTATTATAAAATTATTATTTATTTTATTATTTAAATTAATATTATATTATTGATAATAAATAAAAATAATATTAAAAATAAAATAATTATTTTAATAATTATAATTCTATTACTTATTTATATATTTATTTTTATTATAATTATTATTTAATAAAAATAAAATGTTATTATTATTATTATTAAAATAATAATAATAAACTTATATTTATTAAATTAATTTATTATTAATATAACTTTTATTAATAATAATATAATTATTTATAATATCATTAATTTTATTAATAATCATTTATTTTTATATTATTTTATTTTAATAATATTAATATAATAATTATTACATTAATAATTATAATTAAAGTAATTATTATTATTATATTAATATTTTTAAAATAAAATAATATAAAAATGAATGATTATTAATACAATTAATAATATTATAAATAATTATATTATTATTAATTAAAGTAATATTAATAATAAAATAATTAATTTAATAAATATAAGTTTATTATTATTATTATTTTAATAATAAAAAAACAATATTAATAATGAATAATTATTAATAAAATTATATTTTTATTAAATAATAATAATAATATAAAAAACACATTCTTCAACAATTCTAGGGTTACCTGTTTTTTCAGTGCAGGGTATAGACCGTAAATTAAAATATAAAAAACAGAAAAGTTATTTTAATAACATTTTTTTAAAACAATTATCCAGTAACTCTATTTAATAATATAATATTAATTTTAAATTATTTGTATTTTAGTTAAATAGTTTTATGATTATAATAATAATAAATGGAATTGTTTAAGGGATATTTATTCATGTGTGATTATCAATCTATCATCTCTATATAAAAAAAAAAAAAAAAAAAAGGGGAGAGAAATTTGCACAACCCAGTATATCTTATCCACTTAAATAGTCCAGCATAGCATCTCCTCCACGTGATAATCAACATAACTAATTATCACGATGAATTATGGAGTATGCAAACTGATAATAGCCGGCCCACATGAAGTGTATAAAAGTTTGGGGGACCTGGTTACAATGTCAGGGGTGAGTGGTTGTATGAGCAAATGAAAGAAATGTTCTTCTCTAACTTTTATCTATTTCTTTTCTTCTTTATCAGCATCCTTTCTGTGTTAAAGCTCGCAAGAAAAACCAAAACCAAACTGAATTTACCCCCATCGCCACCAAAACTACCATTCATAGGCAATCTTCATCAATTAGGCACACTGCCACACCGCTCTCTTCGAGACCTCTTACTCAAATATGGTGACATCATGTTACTGCAGTTGGGGCAGATGGAGAATCCAACTGTGGTGGTTTCATCCACAGAGGTAGCCATGGAAATCATAAAAATGCATCACATGGCCTTTACCAGCTGACCCCAAAACACGGTTGCAAAAATCTTACTGTATGGATGCATCGATATTGCCTTTGCAATCTATGGGAAAAAGTGTTCTAAAAGGTGACAGACATAAAAAACAAATTTCCTGAGTCGTGTATAAGCACTACCCTTAAGGATTTATCTACGGTATATTGCGTAAATTTCCTAGGATACAACCGAAACTTATTAGAATATCCGAGCATTTCAAAAATTAGCAAGAAACTCTCAAAAGAGTAAATTTACTCATAATGACAGAAAGAAGATTAGAGGAAAGAAGATGAGAGATGTGTCTCTTGAAGAGTGTGATTTATGGAAGAAAGTCTGTAGCAGTTATGGGAAGACTTGGTAGTGAGTCTGTAACGTTCTCTGAAACAGTCTTCTGCAACGTTCTCTGAAAGTCTTCTGCAACTTTCTCTGAAAGTCTTCTGCAACGTTCTCTGAAACAGTCTTCTGCAACATGTGAGAACACGTTCTCTGAAACAGTATTCTGCAACGTGTGAGAACACGTTCTCTGTTTTGCAATACCCCTTAATTTATAACAATCTCCCACATATTGCAAAACAAAAAAAGGAGATAAAAGAATAAAAGAAGAAAATTTTGGGTCTCATATAAGATGTAATGCATCAGAGCTGGTATAACAAGCTATATGAACCAGTCTTAGACTAAAAAACTTAACACACAGTGTAGTTGGTGTAGCAAGCTATATGAACCAAAACACTTAATATGTGTTAGCAGTTTTAATAATCACAATACACCCCCACAATTCTTGATGTTGTCGTTGTGTTGCGCTTATTAGGTCATGCGCGTGCCCGATATTCATGAGTGCTCTAGAAATCTTGCAAAGATCTCATACAAGCGGCCTCACTCGACACTCATATAGGTAACTTCATCAAGCGTATGCTGCAAATCATACACCACCCTTAAGGGATATGAAATCGTTAAAAACTTTGTTTAGACTAAAATTCATACACTACATAGAATTTTAATTACAAAATTTAACCTCTCAATAATGCAGTATCTAGCACTTTCACATATACACCATAGGAATAGACATAATTGATTTTAATCAATTTTAGTGCTAGCAAAACTAACAAGTGACTTGTTTTTACCCATATGAACCTTATTCATGGGATTTCCAATCACAAAGGTTGGGTTACCATCACCTGTTTATTTGCAAATTGCTTAAGTCTCATTCCCGTCGATGTTTCTAAAATCATATTTCTCGCTAAGGGTTTTGTCAGAGGATCTGCTAGATTCCGTTCTGACTTCACATAGTCAATGAAAATTGTTCCATTCTTTAGCAATTGTTTCCCTAAACTATGTCTCAACTGTATATGTTTATTTTTCCTATTGTAGTTCTTATTTTTTGCTATAGCTATTGCCGATTGACAATCACAGTGTATTGATACAGACGGGATCAGTTTCATTCCTAATGGAATATTTATTAAGAAGTTTTTCTACCACTCAGTTTCACTACTAGCTATTTCGAGAGCAACAAATTCAGATTTCATTGTTGATCTTGCAATACTTGTTTGCCTGGTTGATTTCCATGTAATCGCACCACCCCCGAGTGTGAATACATAGGCACTAGTGGATTTTGTCTCATCTAAATCAGAGATCCAGTTAGCATCATTGTACCCTTCTAGTACAGCGCGAAATCCACTATATTCAATGACATAATCCATTGAACCTCTTAAGTATCTCATAAGTCTTGTAAGTGTATTCCAATATTCTTAATTAGGACATTAAGTGTACTTACTCAATCTACCTACTGCATAAACAATGTCAGGTTTAGAAAAGCTCATTAAACGCAATAAACTCTCAATTACCTTGGCATACTGAGGTTGAGAGATTGGGTCTCCTCTATTTTTCTTTAACTTAGAGTTAGCATCATAATGGGTATTCACTGGTTTGACGTTATAACACCCAAATCTCCTAAGAAGTTTCTCAATATATTGTTCTTGGGATAGAAAAAATATTATCGTCCTTCCTTATGATTTTAACTCCCAAAATCACATTGGTTTCACCCATATCTTTCATTTCAAATTTAGATCCCAGAAACAACTTAGTTCTGGAGACAATGTCAATGCATGTACCAAATATTAGCATGTCATCTA